GTCTGCTAGTCTAAATTCTCGAGCACTCATCATCTTCAAATTCTCAACGCTCGACCTCCTTTCGATCTCCTATCAGACTCTCATCCGACTCTCATTCAATTCTCTCGACTATACCAATCGATAAGTCTATAATCACACACACATCTTGCTCACATACATATTGTGCTTATCAATTTCATCATTATTAATATTCACTGTTTCTTCCACTCTAACTCTCATCTGTTATTATTAAGTGTGTTATCACATACATTTACAGTTGAGTTTTGTAAATTGATTTCTTATTATTACAACGCAACAAGTCTAAGTACAAGTAAAACAACTTGCGGCACTTCACTAGAGACCATTCTTTATCACCATGACAGGGATATTTATCTGTCATAGAGACTGTACCTGAATAATTACATTGATTTGAATGGGATCTCATGATCAGTTTCCAATCCTGGTTACCTAATTTATCATGTAGCTATCATATACATTTCCTGTACATGTAAGGCATAACATTGCATAATGCAATCTATACATGTACTTTTACATCCATTAAACTGATAGATATTATTATCTTGATAAAGGAGCAAAGTAAGAAAAAAATATCAGTTATTATCATCATAAATTTTGTAAATTTTAGCTTGCTGTAGTGTTATGAAACTTCAGTTACACATACAATGTAAATATCACTCACCATACCCTGTATTTGTTTGTTAACATTGTAGCATGATCTTGTATCATGATTTATAATGTAATAGTTATAGTATCACCTAACTATTGTCATTATGATAGCATGCTCACGTCTATCAAGTCACTTGATAAGTACTCCCTAGACATGGATTGGTATCCATTTGTATTGCAACATGTACGTATAACTCTTTAGTTATGATATACATGTAGTTTCCTGAAATAAATTATGAATATTGTACATGTAGTTCCAAAGTTGTTACGTACCCGTAAGTACATTAAAAGGCATGTACACTTAAACATATTTTTGCTTTGTTTTTTAATAGCGCAAAATAAATAATGTTTATGACTGAGATTGACAGTGATAGTTTGTTTCATTGCATGTTGCATGTATGGTGATCTTATTTTGTTCTAATCAAATGTACTGCCTTTGTCATGGTTGTGTGATACATTTAAATTTTGATTAATTTGACCAATGCATTTATGCCATTTAGAATAAGTGTAACCAGGGTTCTATCTAGGAATTTTTGTTTGGGGGGAAGTCCAGAGCAGTTGACCCTGGGGGAGGGGAGGTTGTGTACATACATGTATCATCTATGTACATGTACTATACAGCCTCTGTATACTATTTCAAACTTCATTTAAGAATTTTCTTTTTATAGGTACATGCATTCTATAGCATTATTCTTTTTTGTTTTGACTGTTTGTAGTGGTCTATAATTTCTTCTAAAGCTTCATGCATGCAATTACAGGAGTGCATGGGGGGGAGCCTGAAGTTTTGGGGAGGGGGTAGCTGAAGCGTTTTGAGGGAAGCTTCCCCCCTGCCCCTTCCCACTGGATAGAACCCTGGTAACTTGTTTTATTACACATAGTGTATCAATGTCTTCATGTATGTGACTTCACATGTATTTTGATTTCATAAGTTTTGGAACAACTTAACGCATTACACATGCATTTAATGTTGATAATTTAATTTGATTCAATTTCTAATATCAAAAAAAATTTGCTGTTACTGCTATTGCACATATCATTTGTTTTATTTGTTTGTTTGATAATTTTCCTTATGTATAATTTTTGTGTTAATGTAGGTTCTGAAATCTTCAAAAAGTGGTGTTAAAGCTTCTGATATTCCAACTAAATACAAGGTATTACTTGTTCTTAGATTACAGTGCTGTTGACTTGATATGTTGCTTTTTTTAGAATTACTTTATTGAGGACCTACCATGGCAGTCTTTAGGGCATGCTAGCATTGTGGAGATGTTGTTTGAGATGACAGATATTGCTGACTTAGAGAAACCAACAAAAGATGGAGAGTATCTTGTTTTTGCTAAAAAAACAAGACGCTGCTAGTAAGTATTGTACATGTACATGTAGCATTTAAAATGGAGATTTTTGTAATGGTTCTGTGAACTATTTTTGTTTTTAAGACTATTTTGTTTTCTCAAAGTAAAGGTGTTTACATTGTCAGATTACATTTACATGTACTTAACTGTATACATTGTACATGTATGTAAATTGGGAATGTAGAGTATGTTGTTATAGAAATAGTTGTGGCTCGTCTTTTTTGCACATATACAGATGTACAATTCACATTTACAATTCAGTGTTTATTAATGTTTTTATTACAGGTGTTTCTGCAGCAACTGCATTAATCAAAAAGCCCACATCCATTCCTGAAACATTTTCACTGCTAGTGTGTAGAATATTGGAAGGGTCTTCACCTGTTCCTGTTCTCCAGTTTCCAAAGTTTTTTTAGGTTTGTTTTTATGTGATAGTGTATGATCTAGCTTTTATTTTATTATTAATAATTGTTAAAATATTTGAGGAATTTTTATCCTCTAATTTGCTTTGATGCAATGTACATAAATTTGTGTAGATGATATGGACTGTGCTGTGTTGTTGTTTTGTGTTTGGCTGTTTAGTTTTTGGCTGTTTAGTTTAAATGATGCATTTATTCTTTATTATGTTCATTTATTTAGAAAATAACAACCAAGGAGCTCCCACTGATTGAGTATGGCTTCAGTACAGTTGAAGAGTTCCTAGCTTGCATACCAGAGATTAGTATAATTGAAGATGAGAAAAAGGAGAAAGTTATTAAAGTGACACAGCCTTAAAAAGAAGCCGAGAAGGAGGAGGAAGTAGCTACTAAGGGAAAGACACTCTCTGGCACCTGTGCTACTAAAAAGGTAATTTATTTAATGCATATGCATGTACATGTATATCTATTGCAACTAGTTTTTTTATTTAAAAATTCGTGCTTCATTGTAGTTATGTACATTTGCAGTAAATTTGCAGTGATTCCTCAAAGTTATGAGAACTTTTTTAAAAAGCCACTATTAAAATTACAACTATTACTACCATTTATATTTATCATTGCAGCATACTACACAAGCAGGATGACATAAGACATCTAAAGAGACAGTTTGAGGAAAAGAAAGAGGAATAAGGGAACTAAGGTTAACAGCTTGCTAAAAGAGAACAACTTCAACAGAAAATAAAGATGCTCCAACAAGAAGTGACACAACTTGAGACAGAGAACAAAGAACAATCCCAAGTAGAAAGATAATGCACTCAGTGCATATGAACCATAACAGCACTAGGGATGTACTCAAGAGAGCCATTACAGTACTTGGCACAAAGCGCCAAGTACTGTATTGGCTGTTTCATGTGGTATATTAACATAAAATTCATAATGTTTAATAACTATTAAGAGCGTGCTCACTGCTCAGTTAATATCTTATGTAAATAAATAGTGTATGTTTGAGTATAGACAATTAGAGAACAAGAGGGAATGATAGAGAGAGAACTTCATTTTGTTTATTTTTGTGGTGTTTATTCTGGCTGATTTGTGTCCTCTGATTTATCTATCATTATAATCAATTCTTGAATTCAATGCATAACATCTTGCAAGACTAAAGACTCAATATACAATCTTTATTTTAATCTTGTTTAAAAAAATAGAAATGTTCCCTATTCAAGGCAGTGTGTGGCTTGACTGGGCAAATGTTGAAAGCAGCATAGTTGAATTACTAAAATATTAATAGCTGAATTGTTAAATTATGCATTAGGTTAGTTTAATTATTTTTATTGTATTTCCTTTTCAAAAATAATATTTATTGCCATCATGTGAAATCGTAAATCCATCAATTTATAGTTGCCTAACTCCCTAAAGGATGGGACCCTATGTTTGACCTTTGCTTTCTTCTCACACATTCCCTTGCCCTCTCACTGAAGGAATAGTTTGATAATGGAAGGAATGGAACAATGTAGGAATGAATTTGAAAAAAGGGATCATGCTAATGCTGTTTGGTCACTACATTTACAGGATCCTGATGTACTTTACTGGAATGAACGTGACCTATTTTATTATTCTATAAGGAATGGATGGTTAGATATTGCAAAAGATCTCATCACTAATTATCACTTTGATCCAAAAAAATACTATAAAGGTGAATCCTACCTTTATATAGCTGCTAAAGCTAATCAAATTGACATAGTTGAATATCTTATCAAAGAGCATGGCTGTGATCCAATGATGGGTACTAAGTATAACAGAAAGGTCCCTGTTCTTCATTATGCAGCTAGGGAAGGATTACTTGATGTCTTGAATTGTATGGTCATGAACATCAATGGTCATATAATGGATGAACAATATTGGGATACTAATGGTCGTACTGTTCTTCATTGTGCTGTTAAACACATAGATGTTGTAAAGTACCTCATTAATGAGTGTAACTGTGATATAATGGTCACTGATAAAATGCAAATACTATTCTACATGCTGCAGCTAGTAAAGGGTCACTTAATGTCATAAAATACCTCATCAATACTTGTCACTATAATCCAATGACTACTAATAAGAATGGTGAGACTGTTCTTCATCTTGCTATTAAGCACATAGATATTGTAAAATACCTCATTAAGGAGT